ACTGCACAGGCAGTCAGCACTGGAATTGGGGGTCCGTGGCCAGCAGGTTGGGCCTCGGTCGGGGTGGTGAAGCGAGGTCTGACATGCCACGGTAGACGCCTCGTGGGACAAAATGTGCAAACCGAGGAGAATTATGCAGGAGAGGGGAGTTTGTGTAGACGCAAGTGCATATGACTGAGGGTGAAAGGAAGTCGCAACGGCGACTTGAACGCGGACCGTAAGAGGCGTAATCGCCATCCCTTTCTACGTCAGAGACCGCGAACATGGCTACGTACCTCTAGAGAAGCAGAAGAGCATGGGCTCTGCGTGTCGCACAACTGCGAAAGACGCGATCTTCGTCCAGGAAGGCAGCGAGAATCAGATATCGGAGGCGATCCCCGGGCGCATCGTAGGTAATCTGGCAGGATGGGTGGGAAAGCGATCTGGCCAGCTGTTCCTGCGCCCAAGGTTGGACATTGAAACGGCCCGCCGCGGCAACCCTGTCCTCTAGCCACAGCCCTGCGCCTGCGCCACACAGCCCAGAGTGACGCGACGTCGAGACACATATTCATGGACTCTACAATTCACATACCGCCCTTCCCGCTGCGACACCTACTATTCTCGGGAACTACGTCATACACCATCGACACGGCCCAAACAGCGCTCGGCCGCCGAAACAGAACGTCGAGTCGCCCAGACAGCCCATTCAGACACCCCCGAAACGCCGCGGACCCCCGAAGGCAACCCTCGTCGCCATAACCACACCCAGCCCGTCGCACATGAGGCGGAACTAGCCAGCACCCTCTTCGCCCGCCCATGAGCCATGGCCGCTCCCCACCAGTACCACCAGCCGAATGCGCCAGACGACGACTCGGACCTAGAACTCGACCTAGAGGAGCTGGACCCTCTGGCCTCTCGCTCCCAGTCCGCCGCTACACCACCACGGCGCCAGTCCAAGGAGCAACGACGGCCATACCATGAGCTGGGCGCGAGGATACCGCTGAGGAATCTCAGGGTCGGCAGGCTACGCGCGAACAAGAAGAAGGAAGAGCCGGAAGAGGACGACCTAAGAGGGCTGCTGGACGACGATGAAGGGTCCAAGAGAGACTCTGCTGGCAGTTATGGCCAGTCGGGCGATGACGACTCGCCGCTCTTGCCTGAACAGCACACACCACGGAGAAGACGGCAGCCACCGCCGAGCGCTCTTTCCCGCCTGGGCTCCAACATGCGCCTGCCCAGCTTCCTCTCACGCCAGTACAACGCCCCTATACAGTTAGGCGATGACGCCGGAGAGTCGGATGCCGACGAGGAGCACGATCCGACCACCCAGCGTACCATCTCCGTCGGCCAGCTTCAGACCTCGAGATTCCCCGCGAACGCCGTGTCGAATGCCAAATACACCCCGTGGAGTTTTCTCCCACGCACCCTCTACAATGAGTTCTCCTTCTTCATCAACATGTACTTTCTGCTCGTCGCCCTATCGCAGGTCATACCCGTCCTCCGAATCGGCTACCTGTCGACATACATCGCACCGCTGGCTTTCGTCTTGACGATAACGCTGAGCAAAGAGGCTATGGACGATATTGCTCGACGGCGGAGAGACGCAGAAGCAAACTCGGAGGGTTACACCGTTTTGAAGTTTGAGGAGAACAGCCTCGGGAACGGCGTCGCGCCCGGAAAGAACTCGCAGAGGAAGAAGCGCCTGAGGAAGCAGCCCAAGGACGAGGGTCGGTTGGCAGACATTGATGACGAGGAGCAGCGACTTTCGGGCAAGGGCCTGGCGACATGCACCTACTGGGAAGTTGTGAAACCCTCTCGGAGCCTCAGAGTTGGAGACGTCGTGAAACTCGGCAAGGACCAGCGAGTGCCTGCCGACATGGTGCTCCTCAAGAGCTACTCCAGCGAAAATGCAGCACCTATTGAAGATGAAACCAAGGCGCAAAGTTCATCGGCTGCGCTTATTGATGGCATGGACACCAGCGACACGGCCAAGGTTGACAGTGCCACAGCTTCTGGAACCTCGGGAGAAGCCTTCATTCGAACAGATCAGTTGGACGGTGAAACCGACTGGAAGCTGCGCCTGACCTCGCCACTTACACAGAATCTGGATATTGGCGAGTATACCCGGCTCCGCGTCGTGGCCGGCAAACCGGACAAGAAGGTCAATGAGTTTTACGGAACCGTTGAACTGCCACTCAAGACCCAGCGACATTATGACCCTCATGATAACGAAGAAACGACATCCCCCACAGAAGTGCAATCAGCACCCTTGAACATCGACAACACCATCTGGGCGAATACTGTCGTTGCATCAAGCTGCAGTCTACTGGCTGTGGTCGTATACACCGGCCCACAAACTCGTCAAGCGCTTTCTACATCGCCCTCAAGATCCAAGACTGGTCTGCTTGAATTAGAGATAAATTCTCTGACCAAGTGGCTATGTATCTTCACCCTCTCGCTCTCTTTCATCCTAGTGGCACTCGCGCGATTCCAGGTCATCGAAGGCCGGCAATGGTGGGCGTCAATGCTGAGATTCCTCATTCTGTTCTCCACTATTGTCCCAGTAGGTCTGCGTGTCAATCTCGATATGGGCAAGTCGGTCTATGCATGGTTCATACAGCATGATGAAAGCATCAAAGGCACTATCGTTCGGACTAGCACAATCCCAGAAGACCTGGGTCGCATTGAGTACCTGTTGAGCGACAAGACAGGTACTCTGACACAGAATGGTATGTTCAACCATGAAGTAATCTCGACACTGCTAACAGTACGTAGAGATGGTCATGAAGAAGATTCACGTCGGCACAGTCTCCTACGCAAACGAGGCCATGGACGAGGTATCATCATACGTTCACCAGTGCTTTACACCACCCGCCGGAGAAGCCCCATCGCTTGTCACGCCTTCTTCTGCATACATCGCACCTCTCACCTCAGCCACTCGTACGCGCCGAGAGATTGGATCCCGGGTCCGCGATGTTGTGCTAGCCCTAGCCCTCTGCCATAACGTAACGCCGACAACGGAAGAAGAGAATGGGGAGACCGTGACTACATACCAAGCCTCATCTCCCGATGAGATTGCCATCGTCAGATGGACCGAGGCTGTTGGCTTGAAGCTCTTATCTCGTGACCGCGAATCCATGACCCTCCTATCGTGCGAGAGCGGGAATACTGTCGTGAAAGTGCGCATCCTGAATGTCTTTCCATTCACATCAGAAGGCAAGCGCATGGGTATCGTTGTGAAATTTTATCAGGGTCCGGCATCATCACCTACTGATGATGGTGGCGAGATATGGTTCTACCAGAAGGGTGCCGACACTGTCATGACCTCCATTGTTGCCGCGAACGACTGGCTCGACGAAGAGACAGCTAACATGGCCCGGGAAGGTCTCCGAACACTGGTCGTCGGTCGCAAGAAGCTCTCCGCGCAGATCTACCAAGACTTCTCCACCAAGCATGCGCAGGCCTCGCTTGCCCTCAACAACCGTGATGCCGCCGTCGCCAACGTCGTAAAGGAGTATCTAGAGAACGACCTGGAACTTCTTGGTGTCACCGGTGTCGAAGACAAGCTCCAAAAAGACGTCAAGCCCTCCCTTGAACTCCTCCGCAACGCAGGTATCAAGATCTGGATGTTGACGGGCGACAAAGTAGAAACAGCCCGCTGTGTAGCCGTGTCGTCCAAACTTGTAGCCCGCGGCCAATATGTCCACACCATCGCCAAGCTAAAGCGCAAAGACCTCGCTTCTTCCTCCCTCGACTTCCTCCGCGGAAAACTAGACGCCTGCCTCCTCATCGACGGCGAATCCCTCGCGCTATTCCTCCAACACTTCCGCCAAGAATTCATCACCGTCGCCGTGCAACTCCCCACCGTAGTAGCCTGCCGGTGTTCGCCCACCCAAAAAGCCGACGTCGCACGCCTCATCCGCGAGTTCACGAAGAAGCGCGTATGCTGCATCGGCGACGGCGGCAACGACGTCTCCATGATCCAAGCCGCCGACGTAGGCGTGGGCATCGTAGGAAAAGAAGGCCGCCAAGCCTCTCTCGCAGCCGACTTCTCCATCGAGCAATTCTGCTACCTCGTCAAACTGCTCGTCTGGCACGGCCGCAACAGCTACAAGCGCTCCGCCAAACTAAGTCAATTCGTCATCCACCGCGGTCTCATCATCAGTATCTGCCAAACCGTCTTCTCCATTGCCAGCAGCTTTGAGCCCAACGCTCTATACAAAGACTTCTTGCTCGTCGGCTACAGCACGATTTACACCATGATGCCTGTTTTCTCTCTCGTGCTAGACCGCGATGTCGATGAGAGTGTGGCGAACCTCTACCCGGAACTGTACGCCGAACTCAAAACAGGACGTAGTCTGAGTTACAAATCTTTCTTCATCTGGGTCGCGGTTTCTGTCTACCAGGGCTCCATCATACAAGGTCTCTCTCAACTCCTCATCGGCGTGGGCACATCCACAACACCGCCTGCGGCTCCCGACCCCACGTTCCTCAAGATGGTCAGCGTCAGTTTCTCCGTGCTTATCGTTAATGAGCTTGTTATGGTGGCTATGGAGGTTACGACGTGGCATTGGATCATGATTGCTAGTATTGTGGGTACGGCGGCGATTTACTTTGGTTCTGTGCCGTTTTTGACAGAGTACTTTGATCTCGAGTACGTGGGCAGTGTGGCGTTTTGGTGGAAGTTTGCGGTTATTGCGGCGATTAGTCTTGTGCCGCCTTATGCGGTTAAGTTGTTGAGGAGGACGCTCAAGCCGCCCAGTTATCGGAAGGTGCAGGGGGTGTAGGGGTACGCATAGCTGGAGTTTGGGTTGGGGTAACGAGAATTTATTGTTATCCTTCGTTGTCTGCTTCTTGATGTGTTACATACATTGGGCTCCTTGATGGTGCTGCTATCTGCTTCGTTGACCTGACTCTCTTGCTCCAATAGGTCGGGCGAAGCCATTGTCCCATCTCAGTTCCGCCATGTAGCCGCAGCCCGATACGTTCCGCGTAAAAGATATGTCCATCTTCCGCACTCCCTAAGCAATCTTTTGCAGAGTCCCCGATCCGTTCTTCTTCGCCCTCGGAACCCACAGGTCCTTCCTGAATCCCCACTCGACCTTGCGAATGCCGTCATACTCCACATTTGACACGCCAGACACTGAGAGCCAAATCAGAGTACTCCGCTCAGGGACTTCGTACATATGGTGGTAGGACACCTGTGGTGGTTCTGCGTCGAAGACCTTCCGGACGTGTTGTAGGACAGATTCACTGATTCGGGGAAGATGATGAGAACGATGGTGAGCCTGGAAATGAATACGCTTGAGAGCAGTGAACAGCTCGAGGAGTTTGCCGTTGTAATGTACCGAAGAAAGTCCATGAATAGGGTCCACCGTGAGCATGAGGTACGCAATCTTCTTGATGACGCCAGAGGGCAGTAAATTAATCAAGAAATATAATTTCTTCTCCTCTAGACATGCCGGGGTGCTGGTGCCTAGTCCTCCGCGATCGTCGTTGTTGACGAGGAACCGGGAAGAGAGCAAGAGGACGTCCTGCGAGAAGTTCATGTACGCTCTAAAGCGGGTCGTGTACTTCGTCTTATATCTGCTCTGGCAATGAGCGTTCACCTAATTTAGCAAAAGGCTATCAGTTTACTGAAGCTCAAGGTAGTGATTTTGCGCAATCACTTACGGTGACCCACTCTCCGCCGCCGGCTTTGGCAGCTTCACATCGCGCTTCGCGGTTGACTTCGAAAAGCGTTGGGAAACGACGCGATACCGCGACAGCGATTGTCTTCGACGTTGGGTTGTAGCTATGGAGCTCGATGATGCGGTTGCGGCCATTGAGATCGTGGTAGTCGTCCTCGAGGGCAACGTGCCAGATACGCACGCGCAGTTCAGCGGGCAGGTCGGAGAAGAGGTGGAATGCAGTCGCCATGGTTGCGTTCAAGCTTGGACTCGAAAGAAGTTGAAAAGTACAATTTGGAAAGACTGAAGATCTTCCTGGTGCTGTGGTGAGGGTGGAGATCTCGAGATAAGTGCAAACAGCCCTGGAGAAAGCTTGGGCTTGGCAGTCACCGTTGCCCGGTACAAGGCGCTATGACGTAGGCACGTGGCAGAGATACCGTTCGAGGAAGGAGGCAGATGGGTATGGACGGGTCGTCCCGGCTAGCTCCAGTGTGACACCATGCGGGATCGGTAAGTGAGGAAAAGTCGAATGAGTTCCGGACATCTGACTTAATGCTATTACTACTATTGCGATTCGAGAGACAGTTGACTGATGGCGAGAAGTAAAGAACGTCGACCTGCCGACCTTCTGAGCTTACCGAATACAGCACTAACCTAGATGTTACCTGGTATGTACTCGTCTGTACATCAAAACAACAGCTTGCGATTTCATTTGTGGATTAGCTCTCAACCGCGAGGGTGCGTCTTGCTGGGTAACCGTAGCATCATTGATGTAGAAGACGTGATCAGGGCCACGTGCGCTCGCTACCCAATGTCCGGAATTAAGATGTCGTCCAAGGTGAGACAGCACACTGCTCAGTCGATACTTGAGCGACGGTGGATCGCCGCCGACGGCTTGGTATTGAGCGAGATCCAGGTATTCGTTGAGGACTACAGGGTTGATGTTCTTTCTACCTTGATCGACGATACTGAGCTCGGGCGACCCTTCGATGTGTATAGATTCGGTGAACGGCTGGAGCATGTTACAGGTACCGCAAGGAAGATTGCCCAAAGGCGATGGGGTGAAGTGTCGATTCATGGCATCTGTGACGCTATCTCTGGTACCCGGAGGGAGAATGGCGACGTCATTGAACCCGATACCGTCAACGTTGGTACCTGCAGGCAACGTCCGGGCAGCAACGCATACACAAGTCCGGTTCATATCGAGCTGAAGAATGAAGAGTGCTTCATAGCGAGTTCTCCATTCTGTATTAACTGCGAGACTACGTATGTTAGCACAAGCCGGTCTAGTATCTTTCGGGCACCTTACGTGTGATCAACGGATTCAAGGCATGTCGTTAGTAATCGCGTTTGCCATTTCCTCTGGATCTTGTTGCGCGTTGCCTGTACCTGCTCCAGGCGTAAACACACGCAATGCGTCGTCTACATCGTGCACCGCCTGTAGCTGTGCATGATCAAATCGCAGGGGTTTGGGGTGGCCATTAGCATTGAGATTTTGATTACCCCAATAAAATTGCGCTAGAGCCTTGACTGCGCAAGCGGGGCAGTCTTCTAGGTCTTCTGGTGGTTCTTCATCTTTCTTTTTCTCCAAAGTATCGCTTTTACCCAGCGTCAAGCCCTGTGCTAGTTGCGCTTGAATAGCGGCAACAGGACGACAAGGGAAAACAGTCGTACTACCTTGCGTACTTTTGTGTGAGATGATCCACTGAAGGAACTTTGGCAGATGCAATAGCGCTTGCAAACCGCTCAGGCGAAAACAGGTGTTACCATTTCGCCCCAAGCCTCTGCTTCTTCTGTTTTGCCGCGTGATAAGCCATTCGTTCCGAATTCGTCTAGCTACAGTATTCTTGACTACTTGTCTTGGGTGTGGTGCCGCTGGTGCCGCTGGCACCACTGCTGCCGGTATCGGGATACCGCGCAGATTGTAGCCAGTGTGGCGAGCTCCAGCCCTCGTGTGGTGTGCATAAGCCATGAAGCGTAAGGGAAACTTTGAGATGCGGGCGATCGTTCTTTGGTCACTGTCGGTGATGATGTGACTTTGGGAAACAAGACACGCGACAGACTGAGGATTGTCCATGTTATACAGCTTGGTCCACAAAGGGGACAATCGTCGGAACGAATGGCTTTGTCGAACTACCTCCATATCTCCGACAACAAAGACATTGTCTGGCAGAGCAGAGCGCTGAGCGTGACCCAGCCAGATTTCGCAGGCCACTTTACAGGTTTGTTAATGCGACATGGTTATTCTCAGTAGTCACTGCTGAACTCGCTTTTCTGAAGCGCTGCAACAATGATGCCGTAGATCCCGAGCGCCAACTACCTAGGTAGAGAGCAGACGGAGAAGCAAGACGACACGCTTTCAAGCGACTTCACGTCTAGTCGTATGCGTTTCGACTATGAGGAGTGCCATGGTCGAGAGGACTGCGCGTATGATATTGGCACACCATCAGCAATTCCCATGACCACTTCACGAACAAGGAATTCTTCTTTCCTACCCGCCATTGTCGCGAACCTCCACATGCTTGTAATGCCTCATTTGCTTCCATTGGATCGTTGTCGGCTCTTACTCCAAGCAGCGCCTCGGCATGTAAAGTTTCGGTGAGTGCATTTTGCAAGGCTCTTGATACGATCTCGATATTCGCGCTGTCGTCCAAGTGCTGCACCCCGGAAAAGTCTTCGCGTCATGTCGGCTGTGGTCGTGTTCGGCTCCAGACTCTGAAAAATCTCCTTTCAACACGTGGATTCGTGGAAATCCCCAAACCCGAGGATTCTCTTCTAGCTCGTCGACTAGAAGTCGGAGGGCGTCCGCCATCTGTACTTGCCCTAATGGAAGCGTCTAGCGCTCTTCGGAGACTTGCCGTCTTAGTCGTGGTCGTGAATGCGGCCTCGCATTCATTGGGTCGATGTCGGTAACAATGCGCGTCAGCAAACAGAGGACGCGCTGACGCATATGCAGAACGGTCAGAAGACCTCAGAACGCTGTCCGGCCCGCACCTTAATTGACTTGGGCGGTACTAAAGTACCGGAATGCGGGGACGACGGATCGTGATGGTGACGCTAAGCCGCAATCCCGAGGCACATCAGCTCGCTTACGCCGCCACCCTCATTTCGACCCTGCGACTTCCTTCATTTCCCCTGAGCCTTCCCACCCTCTAGTCTGCCCTAGAGCCAATACGCCAAACAAGTGCAGCGGCCAATACTACTGCGTCCATGGCAAAGTCGGAGGTCTAGTATTCCGCAGCTTCCTGATCGGGGCCCTTGACCGTTTTCTGTACCCCACCGATGTGTTTCAAACGTCCACGAGGCACACTGGACGCCTCTAACTCGGTCCGAGAGATCGCCACGAGTACTATGATCGCCCAGGTACACTTCTTTCAGTGGATTCATGACGGTCCGGAGCATCACCATCGTTCTCTGTGCGGCTTCTAACCATACTTCGGCTTCTTAGTATCTTCGACTACCGCAGAGAGGCGCAGAAGTCTACCACGAGGCAGTGTAAGCCTTACTCGGGATTAAGGCAACTTTGTGGGGTAGCCTGAGGGACATTGGGTGGCCTTGTGATACCCACGCGTGGCACGTCTATAAATCCAGCGGCCGACCTCATCGAAAACGAAAGCATCACAGCCTCGCAACTTCAAGCATCCGCTCAGAAAAGCATCGAGCTGATCAAGATGTTGTTCTCCAACCTCATCACCACTGCTCTCTTGGGCTTCACTTCCCTCGTTTCAGCGGCCGACACGAGCGCCTGGAAGTCTCGCAGCATCTACTTCGTTCTCACTGACCGTGTTGCTCGCAGCAGCAGCGACACTGGAGGCGCATCATGCAGCAACCTTGGCAACTACTGTGGCGGAACTTTCAAGGGACTTGAGTCCAAGATCGACTACATCAAGGGCCTAGGATTCGATGCCATCTGGATCACTCCGGTCGTTTCAAGTACGGTTCGCTCGTCAACATTGGACTTTATGTGTATTAATAACAATCGTAGACAAGGCTGCTGGATACCATGGCTACTGGGCTGAGGACCTGTATGCCATCAACTCAAACTACGGTACTGCTGCCGATCTGAAGAGCCTAGTTAGCACCGCTCATGCAAAGGTACGACTAAGTCAGGCAACATTAAATTTATACACCCACTAATCCGGTACAGGGCGTCTATGTCATGGTCGATGTCGTTGCCAACCACATGGGACCAGGTGCGATCACGAACAACCGCCCTTCGCCACTGAACCAAGCTTCTTCATACCATTCCGCCTGCGACATCAACTACAGCAACCAAGGTAGCGTCGAGCAGTGCCAGATTGCTGGTCTCCCTGACCTCAACACTCAATCGTCCGAGATCCGCAGCGTCATGAACACTTGGGTTTCTTGGCTCGTCAAGGAGTACAGCTTCGATGGCGTTCGCATCGATACCGTCAAGCACGTCGAGAAAGACTTCTGGCCCGGATTCTCTTCTGCGACGGGAGTTTACAGCATCGGCGAAGTGTTCGATGGCAGCCCAACTTACCTTGCCGAGTACGCCAAGCTCATGCCTGGTCTTCTGAACTACGCGGTCTACTACCCCATGAACAACTTCTACCAACAGAAGGGCTCATCCCAGGCGCTCGTAGACATGATGAATACCGTCAGCAACACCTTCCCCGACCCATCTGCTCTCGGTACCTTCTTGGACAACCACGACAACAAGCGCTGGCTCAACGTGAAGAACGATCAGACCCTGCTCAAGAACGCCCTGGCTTACGTCATCCTTGCACGAGGTATTCCCATCCTCTACTACGGTACCGAACAAGGATACGCTGGCGGTGACGACCCAGCCAACCGAGAGGACCTATGGCGAAGCGGCTTCAACACCAACGCGAACCTCTACCAGGCCATCAAGAAGTTGACTGCCGCGAGGAAGTCTGCAGGAGGTCTTGCCGCTGATGACCATGTTCACTTGTATGTAGCGGACAACGCCTACGCCTGGAGCCGTGCAGGCGGTAACCTTATCGTTCTTACTACGAATGCCGGAAGCACTTCCAACCAGCAGCATTGCTTCAACACCCAAAAGGCCAACGGAAAATGGACAAACGTCTACGGAAACGGAGCCGCGGTGACCGCCGACGGCAGCGGTAGGATCTGTGTAACCGTCAGCAATGGTGAGCCCATCGTCCTTACTGCTGGCTCCGCTACGCCCACCACTGGTACCACCCTTACCACAAAGACTGCCACTGCTACATCGACCGCATGCCCGACAGCTGTCTCGGTCTCTTTCACACACCGCATCACCACCGTTCCTGGTGACACAATCAAAATCACCGGTAACACCGCGCAGCTCGGCAACTGGACGCCAGCTAATGGTCTCACTCTTTCGGCAAACAGCTACACCTCTAGCAACCCCGTCTGGACCATTACAATCCCATTCGCGGCTGGTTCATCAATTCAGTACAAGTTCGTGAAGATCAGCAGTGGCGGAACAGTCACTTGGGAGAGTGACCCGAACAGAAGCTACACCGTACCCAAATGCCAAGCGAGCGCTAGTCTGAGCAGCTCGTGGCAGTAAGTTAAGTATACATAGTAGCTCTTTCTTTCGGAGGAGAATGGAAAGGGCTAGTAAACAAGAGCCGTGGTAGTACACGGATTGCTTTCTATCATCAGCATCGTTTCATCTCCCACTTTCTACAGAGTGACTATTTTGCCTGATACATGACGTCATTCAACAACTGCTCTGGTAATGGTAGGGAGGTTTTCGCGCTCAGTGGACATACCTAGAAAGCATCTTCTTACCTTCTCTTCATCAGAAGCATGTCGCTTACATGTACTGCCACCACCTTCACTGAATTCGCGATGGGCGATGCAGAACACTCTGGTATTGGAAGAGCGACAGTCGTTCATCTATGGCAAGTTTTTCACTTGCGTCTCTTGCCGCCTGGCTAACCAGATTCCTCTAGTATATACTTGTGCTTCCCTCCACCGCAATATCACCCTCGCGCTCTACATCACCCACTCGTCACGCTCTTCCAAGCCCCTTTCAACTGTCGGCAACACTACCTAGGTAGTTAGCCAAGTCCCGCTACCATCAATACAATCGAGTACTCAAGCATGGGCTGTGGATCCGAACACTACACGCGCTGGAATCGCGTCAGCTTCAAGCATCTCCTCCTACAACATAGGCTAAATAGCATTGTCTCAAGATGGCCCAGCCGGCTACAGCAACATAGGAACCGCCTACATCGCATTAAAGTTTCGGTCGCAAAGCGGAAGGCCCAACGCGCACATGACCTCAAGGTACTGATAATGCGGCGCAGAGTCCGTGCGTGGAAAGTCGCTGTCAGTCAACTCTGGAAGCAGTCTCGCGTTCTTAGACGCCAACACACTGCGGACCGAGACTCTGTCACACCGGAAGACTGGGATCAGCTATTTGAGAAATCTCCTGGCAAGTTGCGCGCCATTTATCAAAAGCCTCATCACAAAGAGAAGTGGCCGAAGGAAGTTCCCTACTTGAACATGATAGCGCTGGCAAACTACAAGGCGAAGCGGTACCGGCAAGCGCATCGGCCACAAGCCGTTCCGAACTTAAACCTTACGGCGGTAAGGGACCTGCAAGAGAAGCTTTGGCCACGAGTGGGGTGGCCGAAAGAAGACCCGTATTCCAACAACGAGGCACGCGTGGAGTACTGCGAGAAACATTGGCCGCGAGTCAACTTGCCCAGGAGCGTGCAATATCTTGACCTCGCAGCGCGTCTTCCCTACGGGGAGGGTCTTCCACCCGCGAAATGGGTTGAGGGCGTGCCGCATGTAGACTACGTCGCGCTCGCTGCCCACATCGGGAAACCAAAAGCAGAAGCCGAGAAGGTAAGGCGAACATCAGGCTCTGGTGCACCGCCATCGCGAGAAACAAGCTGTCACGCTTCACAATCAACGATGTCTCGAAAAGAACGAATGCATACATTGCCCAGGCCCCAATTCGATGATCGCTTCCATGTTGAACTCTTCAAGAAGCGCCAGCAAGATGCAAAGTACCAAGCCGAGGTCGCCATGAACGACGTTGCCATCAAAACTCTGAAGCAGTTCATCAGGCAGCTTGATCAAGTCAAAGTTCTTCTTGAGCAGAGCCGGAAGAATCCTCGTAGCGTTACGGTGAAACAGTGGCAAGATGCCGCAGAAGGTACAGATATCCTTGACACTAATCTTGAAGCTGCGCAGCGAATGGAATTCTCGAGGAGACTTGAGGTAGGTGAGATTCCTGTGGGTACAGGAGGACAGGGGCTTGTAAAGGGGTTCGAGAAGATGCGGAGAGAGTGGTCTGGGAGGTAACGTGTGGATGGTTACTGTCGGTCTCTCAGAGGCATCCACGTGTGAGCTGTCGGACCAATGGTTGGCATTGGTTGCTCGATTATAGCACAGGGTCTCGGGTACTACGTCATCGTCTTGTATCAAGTTGACAGCGACCAGGTCGCCGGTGAAACTTAATACGATTTGCCGGCTTGGTTCTACGTAGCTTAATTTATCTGAAGAAAAAACATGCGGAGATATCTGGTCAGGCTGACTTCTTCAACACGTGAATTCGCGATAGCATCACCAAATAAACGCGCTAACATGGCTAGGAAATAGGCCAAGAGAAGATCATGGTCGTTTCAGGATAAACGGCGTGTTTCTTGTGATTGTGATAATCATACGGATCGTGCTAAGAACGATAACAACTATGCTAACAAACATCCAAACGATTTCGAGCGCTTAGTCGGCTTGAAGCCGGTACGAAGGCTGGCATACCTCTGCAGTAGCATGATGCTTCAGTATAATGATCTTCGAAGATGGAATGCGGCTCAATTTTCGGAGCTGATCCCAACCAGGAATAGTTAGTCACGGGCATTCGGCATCCTCCGTAAGCTTATGCCAAGAACAGTGCGCAATCCACGGCTTGCTTGAGTAAGTTACCCGCGTAACCTGTCCTCTGGGGTACGACGTCCCAGCTCCCACGGATCGCGATCGGGAATCTAAGCGGTCCCAAGCGGTCACTGCGGCACGGGAAACGGCTGCGAAGTAATCTATCTCCAGTGAACAGACACCACGGTGCGCCTGAACGATGAGAACGTGTTGATGAGTACCCGGGAAACAATATAGGCAAGGAACGCATTCTGAAACTGGTTCCCTACAGGGACTCGCATCACATACGATCCTTCCAAGGTTGAGTATGTCTGCCTGCGCAACGGCAACCTCCTTAGCCAAGCTACCTGGGTACCTCACTAATCAGCCTCATGCGTGCGTCTTCACGCTTAGAACCGGGCAGGCCTCATGAGTGCCGCCGAACAAGCGGAGACGAGTATTGAGGCTCTGATGATGTCGTGTTCAGGAATCGCACCGAATGGCTCGTTTTCACGCCATATCTGCAAGGCACACGGACGATCCCTCTCCTTGGCCACACTCCATCGCATGTATCCTCACGCTTGGAGCCAAGGAGTACATGAAAACAATTCACCGGGCGGTCTCAGAAACATGAGGCTTTAGCAAGATAGCAACGAGAATGGCCCGAATAAGATATCTGTATATGCCCCTTGGGTGGTGATCAGCGCAAGACTTTGGATATATAAGAGGTTGAGAAGTACTCCTCAATATCCTCATCACGATCATCAAGTCTTCAATCATCACTACAACAGCCTCTTACAATCCACCCGATTTCACTCGCTGAATCACCAACCAACCCTCTTTCAAAATGAAGTTCCAACTCGCTACCGCTCTCCTCGCTGGCACTGCCGCTGCCGTCCCTACCTGGCCTCACCCTCACCCTCACAAGACCAACTGGACTGCCCCCGCTGTTCCTGAGCTCGACAAGCGCGTTGTCGACCCCGTCTCCATCGCCATCATCGGAGGTGTTGTCTCTGGTATTGTCGGTGTTTCTGGCACTGCTGCCCTCAACATCGCTAAGGATGCCATTGACTGGAACGCTGTAAGCCACAACCCCTTCTAAACCATACCCAGTTTCTCGACTAACTCTTCCAGGCTCGTGAGGCTTTCACCCAGGCCACTGTCGCCGAGATGATCAAGCGCGCCGGCCCCGGCGAGGCTGCCGTCTGCTACAACAAGGGCTACGAGGTCACCAAGCCCAACCAGATGCGCGAGCTCTCTTCTGTCCGCTTCAAGTCTGGTGTCCTCAACACCGACTACGACTGCTTCCTCATGTCCGGCCCCGACAACTCCTTCTACAGCCGCGGTGACGGTGGCTACATCAACGTAAGTCACAGCCATGATATATTTCCTCACATATCAGTATGCTAATACCAAGTAGCTTGCCATTCAGTCTCCCTCCAACTGCAAGTTCGACAGCGCTACCTCCGACCTTTACTGCGCATAGACGATCCTATCGGATCATGAAGTCATCTTTACAAATGACCCCGGGATGGATGGATATGGATCACAAGAGTGCTACGTAGTTACCTTCTTACCTTTCTCATACTGTACACATCAATTTGCGAACGTCGCCTGTACATAGTTCGAATCCATTTTTTACTTTGATAGCTTGTGCCTCAAATGACTGAAAGCTACCATTTGAGGATGAAGTTCTAAAATCGTTGCTATCGCTACTAGTGAATAAGATGAAATCGAAATAATCGCGGAATAACATCTTATCGTTACAGAAGTATATGAGCCCCTACCCAAGGTTTTCCAGCAGGTGTAAGTGTTGGTTATTACTACCTACGATGGAAGATGTACTGGAGACAACCTCAAATATTGAGATCATGCAACTCTTCGCTTTCTGGTGAACTTCATCTGGAGATATTGAGAATTAGAGGAGATGAACAGCTCATACGTGCGGTAAGGTAATGATGATCGAGATCGTATTGTAGATGTAGACCGAGAAGCAGCCAAGACTGCATGCAAATCTGTGGGGATATCAGAGATGTTATAATGATAAGCGGTATCTATGTGTTTCGCAAGCAATGGTACAGAATGATCTAGTCAGTTTGCTAAAAGTTGAAAATTGGAGTGTCATAGTCGACCGAGGTAGAGTATCAACTCACTGCGTCACAGAAGCCGTTAAGAAAAGGACGTGTTCGCATAGCGTGAACTGCCAAGAACCTTCTCGATACTACTACTACTATTATTGCGTCTAATGCAGCCCGCGAAAACCTCAATATCTGAGTACACAGGCTATCCTATTTCCACTTCGTGGAAACTTCTCGGCATGAGAACATGCGTTAAACAAGATCGAGACGGATTGCGAGGACGATACGTAAAAGCTGAGCTACTAGAAAGTAAGAGGATAATCAAGGTAGGATCAAGAGTGTTCTATTTGGCTGAAATATGAATGAGTAACTTGTAGTTTTACTAGCTTATGGTCGAAAGCAAGATAGCAACAATGCGGCAAATCGCCGCACCAGCATACAATTTGGAGTAGAAGTGTAGTGGACAACATTCAGAGCATCACCTAATATAAACAGACACATCATGCTTTACATAACCTCTCGTACTGTCACGGTTATATCACTGTGTTTCGCGACTGCTGTACTCAAGTGATCACCATAAAGTGAGAGATTTAATACCTTTGCATGAGGGAGAAATACGAGCCAGCCTTCAAAATCGGAATCTCAACCTATTCTGTTTGGCATAGGAATAGAGGCAGTCGTAATACCGAGTCTTCACAAACAACGGCAGCCCACATTGTAGCCTGAACCCACGAATAACGGTGACGCATACTTGATGTGCGTTGGTCATTCGCAATACCCAAACCACATCAATTTGACAACCAGCCTCAGCCTCGCTGTGCACTGCTCTATTCCCGTCGCCGTCAACACTGCGACACGCTCAAAGCAGGAGATCGCCATCGCTTATGCATGTCCACACCCATCATAGTGCAGCCTCAATCACCACCCGAAGCGAAACCACCTCGGCGAAGTGTGTGGCTTGGCATGGCGATGCTCGAATCGAGTGATTACTATGGCCGTCAGCCCGCTTGGGTGCCGAGGTGAAGTTTCCCGGTTATCTCCAGACGGATAAGGTGATCAACCTAACAAGTTGCCACGAAGGAGCGGCCCAGTCCGCGCGGTACCGTTCAGGACATCGTTGCACGGAACCGCGGTATTGCCAAGAGTAGTTTAGGTAGTGCATGTCATCTAAGCCGTTTGTCGCCTGCAAGTACCGGACGAGTGGTTGTAATGCTGAGTCGTGAGGTAGAGAGAAAAGGTGTGGACCGTACAAGCTGAAGAACCCAGCTCGGCATTTCATTACCACCAACCATAATGTCGCAGTCTGCACCCCAAACAATCCAGTTGCAGCACCTCCTACGCGTCTCGTCAACGGTTCAAACGTCTCATACGTGCGGTGCCACCGACAAGCAGCATTCCAGCTCTCCACAAAACATCATTACCAACCGTTCGCTGCGTGCAACACCATATCGGCAGCGCGCCCTTACCCAAAACAGCAATCGAGGATGCAATGGATTCGTCAAAGGATTCCGGAAGTAAGACGATCCGGATACAAAACAGGATAAAAATGTTTAGTTTTACCGTTTTGGCCCTGTTGGAAGGATTCGTGTGGCGCAGGGCGCGGGAGATCATGAGGTAGTTGGGACGCAACTTGGTTCGCTGGACGGGCGGATGCAAACCGACCATGTCTTCTTGCCCAACTGACTCGGAACAAGCGGACATGCAGCAGGAGGCTGAAGGATTTTCTGCTTCGCGACAAGAATTGGGGGCGTGGAAAATGTGGATTGTGACGCGCTGTCGCTTGCAGGCGCCCATTGTTAACTTTGCCTTGTCTCAAAATGACGACGTAGAGGCCCAAAGCATGAAGCTAAGGCTGGAAAACAGGCCATTTTCGCTTAAGACGGTTGTTCTAGAAGCAGACGCACGACACGCGAAAAGGTTTAGGGTCCTGCATCATCGAGAGGGAGAAAGAAAAACGCATCAAAATACGGCAGCAACGCAACAGCCCAAGGCACCTAATCTGCATGTAAAGGCAAGGGCAAACTGTCCGAACCAACCTACCAGTCACAGTTACGCGCCCGTTGAACTAGCTTACCAAGTTGTTGGGACCACCCGCTGAGATGAACATGATACCCAATGGCATGATTCTCGTCTACTCTCCCAATGATATCGTACCTCGGTCTTACACTTTGCCCACCCCCTTGCTGACTTGCCCTTGCTCTGTCCATTCGCCTCACTCACCCTCAAACTTACCCCAGACATCTACAGCTATCATATCGAGGGATCTGACCGATGCGATATTAGCAGGGGGATGGGACGCAGGGTCCTCGTTCTGATTTCGTGCGTAAACACGGCCTTCGGCCGATACGTTGACTAAGAGAAACAAGTGTCGGG